ATTAGAATTGCAACCCCTGCTTGTTTCTTAGTGCCATTTGCTTAGGTGAGATGGGGTTCTTGCAGACAGCAAAGAGATGGATTTTGTTTCCTAATCCCTCACTTAGCCTGTGTCTTTTGACTGGGGAGTTCAATCCATTGACATTTAAAGTTATTATTGAAAGATGTGTATTGGTTGCTGCCATTTTGATTGCTGTTTGTGTTCTCTGTCTAATTTTGTGTTTCCTTAATTATACCGTTATTTTCTTTCTTTGCCCTGGGGTATAGTTGTTTCTCTCTCCATTCTCTTTATTACTTCAAGTATTCTTTGATGGGCTGGTTTTGTGGACATGTATTCTTTTAGGCTATTTGTGTCGTGGAAGATTTTTCTTTCCCCCTCAGCTATAATAGACATTTTTGCTGGGTAAAGTATTCTTGGCTGCCATCTATCGTCATATAGAACTGGAAATACCTTGATCCAGGCTCTTCTGACTTTATAGTTTGCAGTGATAAGTCGGCTGTAATTCTGATGGGATTTCCTTTGTATGTGACTTGCTGCTGTTTTTCTTTTGCTGCTTTCAGTATTCTCTCTTTGTTCTGTACATTTAGTGTTTTTACTATGATATGTCTTGAGGAGTTTCTTATCTGATCCTGTCTATTTGGTATTCTATGTGCTTCCTATATTTGTATAGGGATGTCTTTCCTTAATTTTGAGAAATTCTCTTCTACAGTCCTGTATAAGATCTGTTCAATACCATTAACCTGAAATTCTTTTCCTTCCTCTATTCCTATCATCTGTAGATTTGGTCTTTTCATGGTGTCCCACATCTCTTGCATATTCCATTCCTGTGTTTTTAGAATTTTCCATACTCTTTGCTTAAGTGGTCCAGTTCTTCAACTTTATCCTCCAGTGTTGATATTCTGTTTTCCATTTCATTCATTCTAGCAGTGAAGCTTTCCCCTCTTGTTTCAAGTTGGCTCACTGAGTTTTGCAGTTCCTTCTTTATTTCTGCCTGAGTTTTTGTCAACGTTTCTATCCCTTTTGTGAATTCATTCAGAATTTTATCCCTATCTTCTTTTAGTTCTTTGATTTGTTTGTTCATGTGTTTTTTAAATTCATTGAATTTCTTGATCATGTTTATGATTGTTCTTTTAAATCCAGTGTTCTGAGTTATTTCTAGGGGATTCTGCCTGTAGAACTCTTCTACAGGATTGGTGGAGTTTGGTGGAGACATAGTGCTTTGGCTTTCCATTTTATTATTCTTTCGTTGTGAATTTGGCATGTGAATTTCATTCGTTGTTTATGATTCTGATATGAGAATTCAGTTGAAGTATGCTTCTCTTTGTATTATCATGGTACATCTGTCCTTTCTTTATTGGTTATCTAAAGCTGGTTGGTATGGGGTTCAGGTTCTCTCAGTTTTAATTTGGGGGGAACTGATGCCTTCAGATCAGCTATTCAGGAGTTGCCACAGAAGCCCAATTCAGGTTCGAGTCAGGTACACTCAGGCTTCCTTCACCATGTGCAGGCAGGATCTGGGCACTCTCAGGCAGTCCCTGTGTTCTCAGCCCCTAGGCCAGAAGGAGGCCAGAGGGAGGCCAGAACTAGGCACTATCAGGTGGTCTGCTGAAATCAGAGCTGACACACCAATGGATGCTACTGATTGCATTCTTTATCAGAAAATTCTTAAAGGAAAATTACATAAAGTTAAGGATATAATAGTGTTCTCTTATGATCCAAAACCTCTTTTTCTTAAAGCTTCAGAACTCTTTTTTTTAATGATTCATTGAGAATTTCATACATTCATATAAGGTGTTTTGATCAAATCCATGCCCACTCCTGCCCCTCCAACTCCTCCCATATCTGCCCATTACTTTTTTTTGATAATTTCATGTACTCTTTCTTCTTCTTTTCTACTTTCATGGGGCTTTTTGCTACTCTAACATTCCCCCCTCTGAAGAGGTAACACCAAAATCTTTTAAGGATTAGATAAAAGCTCCAAAATACTTTTGACATTTTTTCACTTTTAGAATACAGTATGTTGCTAAGAGGCCCAAGGACCTTGTGACTTTTAGCCAAGAAACTGACTACTTTTCTTTGGGGTCTTTTTACCCTAGCTGCCTAGCCAATTCCTACCTCCTATTCTTATCACACTATCCTCTGAAGACGTTACCCAACATGTGGATAGGGAATTAGGACACAGACAGCTCTGGCTTCTTCCCATGATGAACAGGGACACAGGGTGAGACCATTGGATTAC